GGTGATGATATTTAGTCAGTAGCATACTAGGATCAAGGGCTACCAAGTTTGTATAAATGTATGACCTTGAATCATATTCAAGGTCACAAGGAGCAAATATGTTCAAAATATTTCAACAACTTGTTCTGAATAACCAAAAGGCTCAGGATGTTGATATTTAGTCAGTAGCATATGCTGGGATCAAGGACTACTTTGTTTTTTAAAGTGAATGACTTTTACTTATATTCAAGGTCACAGGGGTCAAATTTGTTTAAAATCTTTAAACAACCTCTTCTGAATAACCATGGGTCCCAGGATGTTTATACTTTGCAAGTTGCATCCTTAGATGAAAGGCTATACAATGTGTTCAACATAATGACTTTGTTCGACTTTCAATCACAGGGGTGAAATGTTAAAAAAAAAAGATAACGGTCTTTTGAATGAATTTTAATCATAAATACTGATATTTTGCCTGTAGCTTTATTTTTGATCACTTTTAAGGTTACAAGTGTGAGTTTTATACCAGGTGAGCGATGCAGGCCCATTTGGCCTCTTGTTATAAGTACTGTTCTAGTAAATATGAGAAATGACAAACTCACTTTGAAGGTTGTCTTTTATACACAGCAGTATTAAGTTCAGATCAAAAGTTACTTCAAGGTGCATTTACTATTAACATGACTTGAATATCAAACAGATTAGAGAAAAGAAGAGAAAAGATCGAACTGATAAAGAACTAATGAAGGTGGTATAATGGTGGGTGCCAAGATCCCTCTGGGATCTCTTTGTTTCTTTGAAATATTGTGCATTTTATAAGTATTTTCAATACTTGATACTGTATACAAATGACATTAATTTCTATATGCATGCGTCTAAATTGGGTGAAGGAGTGTTACCAAACCTAAGTCACTTTGATCTATGATTGACCTTTAATCCCAATCCTTCATAAATATGTCTGGGGCATACAACTGCTATACACTTTCGCAGGGAATTTCACAGCTGAGTTATCAAATTAAAACTTGGTATTTTATTTGTGACCCATATCCAACGTTCGCCAAACAGCTATATCTAGTTCACGATGCAGAGTCAGTGTAAAGGTTTGCCAATAAAAAAATTTGGTTCACACAGTCAGTAGAAAAGTGTCTGGAACGTAAATGTACAACTCATTGTTTATCGACATTACTTTCCCATTACTTACTCTCGCGTAGCTAATCCTAATCAAGAAATGAGCATTATACTGCATTACAGTACTTGAATAACATCTGTTCATAATTATGATGGAATATTCGAGGCAATCAATTCCCCCAACAGCAGTAATGACTTCTTTATATCGCACGTCGGTTTAATTATGATTTATCAAGTTAAGAAGTAGCCTAGATCTTTCAGTCATACACCTGTAAGAGAAAACAAACTTAACAACATATTCCTGATGCTTTGTTTTGATTATTTGAGTTTCATCTTAAATAATCAGTCTTTATTCTAAAACTGTTGTCCGATGCTGTTCAAGTTCATATATCTAATGATTTAATCAAAGGAGAAGTCATGCAAGAAACTTCCACCAAATGTTTCAGAGTCTGTCACAAACAAACTTTGCTTGAACATGAAAAATCCAGAGAAATTCGAAGGACTGCTTCACGAAAGGTCAAGGTTGAATATGTCATGTATCAGATGAAAAATGGCGGAGCTACAATTCGAAGCTCCGCTTGCTAAATTTGAAAACGGAGATTGGAACGAATATAACGAATTTCAAGGTGTAACAGACATTCAGAACTCAAACAAAGACTACGAAAAAAGAAGAGGATTAGATGTAACTGATAATGGCGGTTCAGACAATTTTGTAGACACATTTTCGGGATCGCTTGAGGATTTGGTTCATACATTTGATGAGAAAATTACGAAGTGTTTTCGAAATTTCGAGGAGAATGTTGATACAATTGCGCCTGTACAAATACGAACTCAAGAAGAAATAATGACTGATTGCCAGTAAGTAACGTAATGTGAATTTATTGTGAAATGTGAATGGATGAATGTGATTTTGATGAGATCATCACTTCCCGGGCCCGTCGCAGCCTCTGCAGTCTACGTATACGTAGACACAGAGCATTTATATTGACGTATTTTAGTGAATGTGCGATTTTAATTTTATTTCACTTTATCTGATATTAGCATATGATATAAAAGTGGGGATGTGTTTACTCGTCATGAACAGGCACCATATTTGTCTGAAGCTTTAATTTGTGCTGTTGGGCCTGGTGCATGTGTCGATGTGAACATCAGAACAACAGGTAAAATGTGTCATAAATGACTAATAATTATAATGGCCCATCATCCTCTCACACAAAAAACAATCAACATCAAAATGATCATCTTTGAAATTTTATGAAACAATCATTTGTTTCTCATTTTAGATAGGCCCTATTTGAAAAGTGTTTTTCTTGACAGTATAAAACAGCTGTAAAATTGTCTATACTAGGCTAAGTATAAATCAATCAAACCTTAATTTCACATTGTACATGTGTACAGTGTCAGAAACTTAGTTGGTCTACAGTACAGTAAAGCTTAGCATCGGCTAACCAGTAACTGAGCCCTTAGGGCAAAATAGTAAACAAATGAGACAAAATTAACTAGGCAGTGATATGCTTGATAATTTGTCCCAATTACGTTGTGTAAAAAATGTTTGATTACCATATTTTAATTTTATCTTAGCAGTTAGTTTGTAATCCCTTCCTTTACAATAACAATCTGGTCATCATCATTGAATGCAATCATATAACCCGTTTCTTTACACTAACATATATGTTGGTATATCCATTACTATCCAAAACTAGGAAATGAAATATTTAAAAAAATAATTTTGACTTTTTATTTGTATCAGCTGTATTTTTGAACGACAAATTTTATGTTTTGTACGGGAAAAACTTATTTCTTGAGATTACGATGGAAACTTGCAGAAAAGAAAAACATTGATGCAAGGATATCATGCTTTTTGCGTGGCTTATTATAGAAATTAGAATAGCCAGATGAAACAGACCATTTAAGGAATGAAAGTTATTTTTTCAACATTCATGAGGTCATAACAACATTGGCTTTTTGGACATATTCTTGGTAAATATGTCCAGAAAGCCAATGTTGTTATGACCTCATGAATGTTGATGAAATAAATTTCATTCCTTATTTTTACATTTTTAAATGCTTTGAATTTTCCGATGCAAGCATAAATAAAAACAAAAGCGGCATTGTAATTCTATTTTGCATGAGGGCAACGCAGTAGAGAGAACAGCGTGTTTTCGCGGAAAAATGTAAAACTTCCGGTGGGGGTCCTACCAACAGCATGACAACAAAACAAACAGAATATAGATGTATTTTCAAATGTTATTTGTAGAACTAACACACGTTGGATATTATTATCATGTACCTTACACACATCATTTGAGAATTTAAATTAAGCCTATCATGTTTAATGTTAATCATATTAGCATAACTAAACTACACCGAGGGCTGTTTCACGGCGGACATGTACCAATTACGCCCTGTGCTACGTCATTAAAGTGTATCAATACGCAGTGATGAGGTCACCTGTGTTATGCAAAAATGAATGTCATTTTCGCCAATGGGTCCAAGCATGCAGAATGTAAATATACATGTATGAATGATAGTCACATGATTTTGTTATGCAGATGATAATGAGTTGTAGCAAGCATAAATTATTGATAAGAATTTAACTTATCAATGATGTGCTTTTTTATTGTTATCTAATCTAATGAAATGAAAAAAAACCCCACGTATTTCAGTATAATAGGGTGAATTTATAGAGTTTATATAATTTATAGAATTTATACATGCCTTTTTCCATATCACACCTAGTATCAACCCGAGACTGCAATATCAGCCCCAAGGGCCGAACTGTTTATTACATGCTTACTAATAAAAGCTACTTTCTTATGATCTGTTTTTCTTTTGAAATATTGATAAACGAAAAATTTCCAAAAGGGGTGTGATACAGGTTTTGCGGGCTGATACAGGTTTAGGGGTGTGATACGGCGGGGGCTGATATGGCTTTTAGGGTGTGATACGGCGAGGGCTTATATGGGCAAGGGCAATTGTGTCGTATCGCATATACAAAAAACCCGTATTTATTAGTAAGTTTATAATAAATATAATTACTTGTTTTCACTGCATTTTCTTAAACAAATATCTTACCTTTTAGAAAGAAATAAAGCAATTACTCATGACGTCAAAAAACTTTAGCGTTTTGTCACTTGTGAGTAAGAAGGTTAGGACACAGAAACCTATACAGCACAGAAATAGGTCCTCTGAAAATACTTATTACTGTGTAGTACTATAAATATATGGTGAAAAAGCTTGTGGACAGTCGACCCACTAACAAATTATGAAAACAACAAAAAAGCATCATGAATTTGATATCACTTTATATATAAATGGCAAGTATTATAACATTGCACAGCTGTGTGCAGTGAAGTTGGACATCTTATGAAGATTTACAGGATGCTTAGGGTGAAGATTTGCATGAAAAATACTAAAAAATAAACTTATCCATCGTTCCTTCTCAAATTCCTTAATATCTTTTGAAAACTTGCATGAACTATACACCAGGGAGCACTTAATGGCATATCTATGGAACTCAACATTTGTTTCTTTGGAAGCCCTATCATTATTTCAATTATGTGCATGTCCACCTGACATTGTGATGGCCAATATAAATACAAGGTTAGCTTAATTTATGCATTTTTGTGTGGCTGAAAGCTAAGCAGTTTTCCGGGTCTTCCACATTAGTGACATGTGGGATCTTCCACCAAACCCCATCTGTGAAGATTTGTCGGTGTTGGAAGCACATCATAAACAGCCCTGAGAATGAACTGTAGCTGTCATGGTGTGTATCTCCAGATCTCTGCCCATGTCATCTTCCTCTCTTCCGTCTCCCATTGGGTCCATGCCCCTTGGCTCCCCATCTCCACTGCTTTCACCTTCCTTGCTTCCTCTTCCTGTTGCCTTATCTTTCCCTGCGCTTGCTTTCTCCTCTCTGCTGCATTAGCATCTTTCCATCTCGCCGACTGCCTTCTTCCTAATCCTTGCCTTCTAATGCACACTGTCCCCACAATGTCCTTGTGCCAGAGTCTGCTCTCTGTCTCTGCAACTGCCTTGCTGGCTGACCACTTCCTTCCAGTTTTCATCTCCACTCCTGCTTTCCCGATTTTCTCGTCCCTGGAGTCTTTCCTTGTCATGAACAGTCGTGCCTTTCCAGTCCTGAATTCTTCCACTACTGATGTTAGTGGGAGCTACAGTTTGGATGTCCAACTATACAGTCCAGTTGACGAGAAGCAGTGAGGAACTCCAAGTCATCTTCTCAGATGTTTGTTGATTTTCCATTCCCTCTACAGTCGTAAAGGTAATCTTGTACAGCATCAGTGGCGAGGACAGTCGTGGCAGTAGACCATGTTGGAATATCCTTGAACTTTCCTGGCAGACCTGTCTTGTGGATGTTCCTTAATCCTTCACAAACTTGCTGCTCTAGTTTGTTACTGTTGTTAGTGTCCTTCAATGCAAGCTGTCATCAAACCATTTTCCTAGGCACTTGATTGGGTTGCCCACAATAGATGGAATCTCCTCTCCCTGGATAAGAAGGCAGAATTGTCTCGTCACACGACCCTATTTCAGGATGAGATATCTGGATTTAGCTGACTTGAATTTCATTCTTGTCCAGGATACAGTATCCTCCAGTGCTGTCAGTATCCACCTTGCTTGGACATGTGTTGTTGCTGTGATCGTTAGATCATCCATGAATACTCTGCGCGGTGGCTGCCTGATGTTTGTTCTGGATAGTGGCATGGGCCCCTCGTCTCCCATTTCCCTGCCTCAATGATCATGTTCATTGCCATCACCAATGTCATGAAAATCACTTCGAAATTGTACATCTGTTGACAATTCCCTTCTCTAGCTTCTGCCATGAAGTCACGTAATCCTTAACGGCAAATCACAGATGTATTCCTCCATAACTTTGTATGATGCCCTTCACCTTATCCGGGATATGGTACTGGTCCAGCGCCTTTCCTAATAGGCTGTATGGGACTGTGCTGTATGCGTTCGCCAGATCTAACCACACCACTGTCAGATCTCCACGTTCACCTTCGCCTCCCTGATCAGCTGGCTTATCACGCTTGTATGCTCTACACATCCAGAGAATCCTGGAACCGCCCTTCTTTCCTCCAGACTACCTTCACCATTTTCCACAGTCTACGTAGAAGCGTGGGACACTTTTCATACACCTGATATGGGATGCTGTTTGGTCCTGGTGCTGATGCTGCCCTTGCTTTCTTCACAACCTCTGTTACCTCTTTCCAGGTTGGTTCCCCTATTTCCATTGGCTTAGCTTGTCTGGTTGGTTCACTGGCTGGATTCTTTCATTTGGTCCCAAGGGTGCATTTCGTTCCTCATCCCCATGAGTTGCTTTCAGATGTTCTTCTTCCTCTGACACTGCAGTCTCCCTGATCTTCTCCCTTCTAGTACTGCTGCTGTGAACTTGTATTGGTTTGATATAAATGCTGCCCTTTTCTTGGTCTTCTGTCTCCAGGCTTTCTTGATCCGCTCTGCTATCCTCAACTCTTTCAGCCGCCAGGTCCTCAACTGACTCAGCCCTGCTTTCTCCTCGTCTGTTGACCTTCTGTAACGTTCTCCTTGGATCCATTGTATTTCCTTCTCTTTTCTATCAGGTGTTATAACTTGATCCTGTGCTGGCAAACCTTTGACCTCGGATTCCCCGAATCGATTTTTCCCGATAGTATACACTAGTTTGGTCATTGCCTCTATCTTCCGTTCTACGCTGCCAATCAATGATGTTTCCAGTATCTTTTCCAGATCCTCATTAAATACATCCCACTCCTTGCTGTCCATTGCTGGTCATTTCACCTTGCTATGGACTCTGCTGCGGGAGATCCTGCTGTGTGGGCGTTGGGTCATCCTTCGCT